CTGGAGCCAGAAAACCAATGAAGTATGAGGTTTATATGGAGAATAAAATAGAAGCTGCTCTATGGTGTGATGCACAATCAAAAATGCAGTGAGGAAAAGGCTGAAGTGTAAGGGTCAGGTAGAGTGTGTGCATTATACACAATTTGACATTTAAAAATCTGTGTGAAAGAGTGGGCGTAGAAGAATTATTTGAAAGGGAAAAAAGAAGTCAACCTAGAGTTATAATCCAGAAAAAAAAAAGTAAAAAAAAAGAAAAAAAGAAAAAAAAAAGAAAAGGAAAAAAGAATGATATATTTCTGGCACTTCCTTTTTCTTGCTTTCCTCTGAGGGCAAGGGTCTGTGCTCATTGAGGAGGGTTGTAACTTACAGCTTTCCACGCAAGCTTGGACAAAACAGTCCTGTATCGTCATTTGAACTATGAAAACTTGTTTGTTTTGAGGCTTTTAAAAAACCCATATATTTCCATCTGCGCCTGTTTTTAAGTCCACTGTTAAAATAATAGTATTAAAATCACTTATGAGATAACTATACTCCAAATTCAGGAAGTGATAAAGAACGCTCGGATGGCGGTCACTGGAAGTGCTTCGTTGATGAATATGTCACGTGATGGGGACAGAACTTAAGGTCCTTTTACCTATCAGCACCATTACTTTCATATCTTTTAATAGGTAGCTAAATAAAGACATCAGAATTCTTCCTTTTAAAAAAGTACATGAAAAAAGAAATGAAAGAATTAACCAGCTACCTCCACGATGCTCTTGGAAACAAAGTCAGTAATATTAGAGAAAAAATGCAAATGGCAACCTGCTGTGACAGAAAGCAATGCCCGAGAAATTGCATTTCTGGAGCAGGAAAAGCCAGGAATGCTGTGATCTGTGCAAGAATGTCACCCGGGAAAATCATGGCTTCTTCACCGGAACATACCCAAAGAACAAGGTTATGATCTGTCTTCCTGATTTACATAATAAACTTAAGTTCTGACATTGAAATGATGGACTTGTTAGAAAACCAGGATTATCTGGACTACAAACAACCACTTAATTACCAATAAGCTCATTTATTTGTTTTACCAAAGAATTAGCTTGTCTTTTTAAATAACAGAAGACACAAGCAGTGAAAACTGTGTTACTCAAAAGCAAATATTAACATACTGCTGGTTAGGTTTATTTTTCTTTAATGTAGAGGTTTTGAATTCTTCCATTCAGTAAGTTTTAAAGGAGTTTTTTTCTTTTTTAAATTATTATTTTATTATTTTAACAATGCTTAATGAAAATCTTAATCAGGATTTAGCATTTATGTAAATTAAAAATATGTCATTCGTTTCTTATGAAAAGTTCAAAAAATAGAAGATGTTAATACCTTGTAATTGCCAGAGTTATTTTTTAATTATGCTTTTTAAAAAAATATGATCCTTTGTCTTGTTAGGAAACAAACAAAAATTCAAGTGTTCCTAATAAAAATGACATAATTAAATGGGTGGCAGAAAACGTGTCGGTATGCTATATATACAGATATATATGAAACATAGTTGTAATCGAAACACAAATTGTTGTGCAGATGTAACAGTGAATATGGCTATAAAAACAACCTTTCAACAAAAGTGGGCCAGCATGAATATCCAACACAAATCACAAAACATCACTAATTGCAAAATGTACTCTCTGATATATAGTACAGTAAATTTTATTTAACTCCTTTGTCTGTCATGTCGTCTGTTACATTTTTTTTTCATGTATATATGCAGTGATTTCTTAACCAATGACTGATGCTCATTATAAGCAGCATTATCTAATTCAAATAAAATAATTTTGAGGTATTTCACTCCTGTATTACTTTGAATTCTTTAGCAACAATAAAGTCTATTTATAAGTGGCATCAGTAACATAATATTTTTGCTTGTAACTGGAACAGCTACATATTGCTTGGGTCAGAATGAAATCCTTCTTAGAGAATTTCTGTCTGTCAAGCAATTAAGACATTTGATTTTAGTTTGGACACAAAAGCTGCACAGCTCCAATTTATTTAATTCCTACAGCCATAGTGACTGGCAGTTCTAAATAAACACTATTAATAAATCATTAATCCGTAACTAAAGACTAGGCTCTTTCTGGAATATTTGCCAAATACCTACTTCAGGAAATCTCACTGGAACATCTGTCATTCTCACAATTACAGTGGAGAAAGAAGAGCGAATATTTCAGACAGCTAAATTAAAGCATGAGAAAAACAGCAGCACATTGGCTTTGAGACTGTAATAACCTCTGTGTTATTTACAATAAGAATTCAAAATGCCAAATCTCAAAATGCTAAAGAAGGAACAAATTAGTTGCTAATTCAGTTTGGCAATGGGGACCCATGGCAGTGTAACAAGAAAAGATCCTTACAAGCTATCGGGAATAAGACATGGGATCAAAAAAATGAAAATGATGAAAACGAATAGCACATCTGATGGATTTCTACCTCCCACCTCAGCCTCCAGGTTTCAAACAAGGCCTGAAATGTCACTCATGTAATTATTACCATATCAGGTTGAAAGCAATTTCGACTCAGCTGATTTGATTGTGCATTAATGGCTGCAAAAAGAAGATAAGGAATGTGCATGGTAAAAATAGCTGCCCATTACAATAGCAGCAAATGGGGTCAACTTATTAGATAACCTTAAATTCCTTGATGGTTCAGGTGTTTTCATTTTATTGTTTATTAAAGGTTAATGCCAAATATGAACGTGGAAATAAGCTAATTGAAGCCTTTCCTGTCAACCTTCACCTTCCTTATGTGGCTGTTTGAATAGTGACTGACTCTTTTTGAGAGAGTTTACTAAATCTCAGGGTGCTGATGCTATCAGTAGCTGCATTTCTTGCCTGTCAGTGATGGTTGCGAAGGACAACATGCAGCATACCTCCTCTTCACTGGAAAGTGACAGTTGACTTGTAATCTGTCAGCAACTGCAATTTAATTCCAGCAAAATGAAGAAAACAGGAACTAACATGTTGGTTACTGCTTCAGCCATAACCAAGAGTCTAAAAGGGTCTTGTTGCCAGCTATTGACCTGGCAGAAAATTGGTTAGTGTTGCTGACAGGAGAGAGCCTGGAGCCACCAGCCTCTAGGGCATAGCTCTTTTCTTCATATATTTCAGCATTTCACATAGTCTCTCCATTTATTGTTTTTCTGTCCTCTCTCAGGTACCTCTTTCCTTATCTTTACTGTATAAAACACAAGACTTGTGTTTTACCCTACAGAAGTTCTTCCCTCACATTTGCTTTCTAAACTACTGCTTACATTTATGTTGGGAATGAATTTGCAAAAGCCGCTATCACTGTCTAATGGCTCCCTATATACGGGCTATGGTTTCCTGCATTTTGTTTGGACTGGTTTGGCTATGTCCTGTCTCTCCTTCGACTGCACTGGGCCTAAATAGATACAATTAAAATACTTTGTCAGAATTTCTCTGTAATTATTTATGAATACTTTCTGCTGACCTGCTCACTGAGAGTATCTGGATGTTGGTCAAACAGGAAAAAGAGGCAAGAAGGGAAGCAAGTTTAAGACATATCTCATCCAGCCAGTAGATAGGAACTGTTAAGAGAAAAATCTGAACAAAAAAAATCCAGTGACCAGTGACACATGAAGGTCAAAATGACTATAAAAACATTTTAAAAGCCCTCTCAGGTAGTAGAGACAAGCTTTGAAAAGTTGCTCTGGAAAACCAGACCTGCCAAGCAAGCTGGAGTGGTGATCCTCAGAAAAACACTATTGTCTTAAAACTCCTTTCCTCTTATGTATTGTTCTTACTTAAGTAAATAAGTTAGAAGAATTGGTATGGAAGATACAGTACTCCTCAGACTAATTGATTTGTGAAGTTCCTCCCACAGGAGTTACAAAGACAAATCCTTCCACTATTTCTTAATCAAAGCCAGGCTGTAAGGAACCTGTATGTGCTTTGATGAGCTATGAACTAGAAAACCAAGCAGGGTATATGATTTTGAGTAGCATGACTTCGAGGGGTGGCAGGGGGATGTCCAAAAGGAACACCACTATAAAAAGGAACTGAAAAGAATTCAATACAGTGAGATTTCTTTCAACGCCCCCCCCCCCCCCCACCCCAATTTGATGGGGTATTTTTGAAAAAAACCTACCCTTTACGTTTGTTTATAAGTCTCTAGTGAAACATCACTGATAGAACACCTGTTTTTAGCTACATACATGTGCAGAAGAAAGAATAATTTCTTTGAATCACTAGAACTGCTTCTTAGTTCTGTAGGACTGTGTACTACCCTTGCCACCCTTATTCTTGGCAACAATAATAATAGCAACTGCCTCAACAAAATTGAAGTGCTATCAATTTCATCCTATATTCTGTAATCTGAATAGTGTATAGAAGTAATTTCACTTGTTATTTAATTTGTATGAAATAGCAAAGAGGTATTTCTGAAACCTTTCTCTCTCTAAACTCATTTATCAATAAACGTAAAAAACCCCTTGACATGAATACTAAACACCTGTTCTCTAGTAGTGTTATTAGGTCAGGTAGAAACTAGAGAATTGGCACTGCCACAAAGTGTGTTAGGACATGTTTAAAACATTGTGCTCTTAGCTTCATATATAAACTATGCATTTAGGGGGAAAAAAAAAAGCTATAAATCTTATTTATTCTCCAACTAGGATATTTTGGCAGAATAAATTCTAATTTACTGATTTATATTATCACAGTGAATAAATGGGTGAGTCTGGTAAAATTTTCAATAAAAAACCTTTCCTCCTTTTGTTTACAAGAACGTTACTTTTCATTTTGACAGAGTCTTTTAACTTGAATGAATTACTGTCCACAGAAATGGCTGGGCAGGGAATTCATAATTGGTTACTTAGTCAATTGGTTACTTTGAGTGTGCAATAAGGACTGTCTGTGAAAATGAAATCCAGCAAAATAATGAGACCACAAATTAGGCATGTCACATCTTAATAAACAATGATGTCTAATTATGAAAGAATCTGTACTTACTTGCCAAGTGCAAAACATTCCATCTTAACAGTAGTCCCCCTTGCAGCTGTAACTGTGTAAGGAAAATGGACTTCAATTTTTGGTTCATATTCCCCCATCACACCTGGAAAATAAAGAATGTTTAAAATATGAAATGTCATCAGTTTTCCATGTGTTGAGATTATCACAGAAAAACCCTGCGGCTTGCTTTTTAAACCTGCCCAGCAGTAAAACTAGTAATTGATGGAAATAGCCTCATTTGATCTGATATGCGCTGCTCAGGTCCAGTACATATTCTAAAATGCTCTTCAGGGTTACCAGCAGCACAACACTGAGTTTAAGAAAAAGGATTTATTCTCTCAAACACGGGTTAATATTTACACTTTGAAAGATTAAAGCAGGCAATCAATTTTAGAAGGGTGAGATATTTCGTAGACCAAAGCTTTGTTTACCCATGCAGTGACAATTATAACAAATAAATCAACATAACATGCTGTGTTTGACCGAGGACCTTGTAAGCTCAGCAAGAAAAACTCAAATGATGTAAGAGCATTTGTGTACGCAGATATAAACAGAGTGTATTGGGTTTGCATGGCAAGGTTTTGGTAGGGGTGAGGCTACAGGGGTGGCTTCTGTGAGAAGCTGCTAGAAACTTCCCCCTTGTCTGATAGAGCCAATGCCAGCCGGCTCCAAGACAGACCCACTGCTGGCCAAGGCCAAGCCCATCGGCGACGGTGGTAGCCCCTCTGAGATAACACATTTAAGAAGGGGGAAAGGCTGCTGTGCAACAGCAACTGGGAGAGAGGAGTGAGAATACGTGAGAGAAACAACTCTGCAGACACCAAGGTCAGTGAAGAAGGAGGGGGAGGAGGTGCTCCAGGCACTGGAGCAGAGATTCCCCTGCAGCCCGTGGTGAAGACCATGGTGAGGCAGGCTGGCCGCCTGCAGCCCATGGAGGTCCACAGTGGAGCAGATATCCACCTGCACCCCATGGATGACCCCACGCCAGAGCAGGTGGATGTGCCTGAAGGAGGCTGTGACCCCATGGGAAGCCCGTGCTGGAGCAGGCTCCTGGCAGGACCTGTGGACCCGTGGAGAAAGGAATCCACGCTGGAGCAGGTTTGCTGGCAGGACTTGTGACCCTGTGGGGGACCCACGCTGGAGCAGTCTGTTCCTGAAGGACTGCACCCCATGGAAGGTACCCATGCTGGAGCAGTTCGTGAAGAACTGCAGCCCATGGGAAGGACCCGCATTGGAGAAGTTCATGGAGGACTGTCTCCCATGGGTGGGACCCCATGCTGGAGCAGGGGAAGAGTGTGAGGAGTCCTCCCCCTGAGGAGGAAGGAGCGGCAGAGACAATGTGAGATGAACTGACCGCAACCCCCATTCCCCATCCCCCTGCACTGCTGGGGGGGAGGAGGTAGAGAAAATTGGGAGTGAAGTTGAGCCCAGGAAGAAGGGAGGGGTTTGGGGGAAGATGTTTTAAGATTTAGTTTTGTTTCTCATTACCCTACTCTGATTTGATTGGCAATAAATGAAACTAATTTCCCCAAGTTAGGCCTGTTTTGCCCGTGACAGTAATTGCTGAGTGATCTCTCCCTGTCTTTATCTCGACCCACAGGCCTTTCATTATATTTTCTCTCCCCTGTCCAGCTGAAGAGGGGAGGGATAGAGAGGCTTTGGTGGGTATCTGGTGTCCAACCAGGGTCAACCCACCACACAGAGATATGCAGACACATACAAAGTTCAGTTATTTCATTTTCAGTGACCCTTATAATTTGGGAGATGATTAATTTTATCAGGACAACACATTTAGTACTGTAAGATACAACTAGAAAAACACTCAGGAATGTGAAAAATATAAACACTAAAATCAATAGAGTCATCTGGAATTTGCTGTGGAGTGACTGACAGCTTTGGAGAATCACAAGAATTTAGGAAATGAGAAGTGAGCAGGGAAGGGAGACAGGTTTTATAAGGTGATTTGAGAGGTTTGTATTTGATGTGACTTAGAGGAACTGTCATAATCAGAATGGCAGGAGAACAATATGTCTCAAACAGCTATGTTTGGTTAGACAGAAGATGGGCCTACTGGACTAAGCGATACTCAGGAACTAAAAGCTATATTAAAGTACAAATTGTTCAGGTTTTTAGATGAGGAAAACTGAATAAAATCTGACTTGTGGACACAGTAGCAAGACAAGTCTAGTCTAAATCTATAAAAATCAGTCAAGAGTCTCCAAAGAATTCTAGAGCAAGAAAATAGGAACAAGAGAGGAAAAGAAAGAAGAGAAAAGAGATATCTTATGCAAGATAGAGAAAAGAAAGGAGCATAAGGAGGAACATGGAAATAGGTGATATGAGATTTGCAGCTGAGAGAAGACCACCTGGCAGAGACAGACAGAAAAGCAACCCACAACCTATTAGAGAAAAAAATAATATATAGGGCTGAAATAGTAAAACATATACTTCTAGCCCTTGAAATGTTCCTCATGGGACTCAGGAGTTTCCAGTGGGGCTGTGCTTTCTTCCTCCTGTTGTTCCACAGACTCCTGTGGCTTGGTTCTGGAGGAAGTCTAAACATATATGCATTTAAACATGTCTTTGGGGGCTTAAGTTTAGTTAGAAAATCTAAATGTGTCTGATATGTGAATCAAATAACAGAAGCAGAAAGCATAAAATGCTTTTAATTCAAACAATGCAATTCCATAAATAATGTGGTTTTATAAGTAGCAGTAGATTTCTTTTTAAAAAACATAATCATGCAAGTATTACATGTAGTAACAATAGTGACCCATTTTTCAATGTTTTGACATTGCTTTATGAACTTCTGGAGAAATACTGCCCCTTGTAGGAAAAGGCAAATTCTGAACCAGTTCTGTCACTAAAGCTTAAAAGGTATATTTTGTAGGAAAAAGGAAATTAACCTTTGTGTCCTGGGTATTAAAATAAAGTCAAGGCATCAACCAAATTGTAGTAAATTAAAATTTTCCCTAGCCTAGACTGAAATCGTTCCTAGTCTTATCTGTCATAAAAAAAATATTCCCACTGGCTTGTACTATGTCAATAAATTTCATAATTTAATTATGCCCCTTGTGACTTCTTTTACTGTTTTCTGGCTTTTTTTTGTGATTATGAATACCAGTTTCTGATTCATCTCAGCTGAGTTATTCATGATTTTATAATATATCTGTCATATCCCCTTTTAGCTGTGTCTTTTACAGACTGAAAAATCCCAGACTATTAATCCTTCCTTACAGTAAATCTTTAATAAACTTGCGATCATTCCTAGTGCCCATGTTGCACCGTTTCAAATTCCATTCTATCATTTTGAGATGGGGAAATGAGAACCGCACAGCAATATGGAAGCTATAAATCTTTGTATCACAGTTTTTTTCTACTTGTGGGGTTTTTTTGTTTGTTTTTGTTTGTTCCTTATTGCTTTCCTCATAATTCAGTTCCATTTGCCTTTTTGCACTTGAGCTGATGTTCATCTGCAATGGCATCCTAAACTCTTTACTGATACCTAATAAAGGTATTATATTTTTAGGTTTAGGTATTATATAAATTTGTACTGGATGACATTATTTATCACCTATCTACTCTGTTAAGATGATATCCTTTTGCAGCTCTTCACAGTTAGGTTTAATTTTAACTATCCTTAATAATTTTATATCAACAAGCTTTTCTACCTCCATGTTCATTTCCTTTACACATGGTTTATGTGTTGAATGGTGAAGTCCCAGAAAAGCATTCTGTGGCTTCATTGACAATCTCCCAGTTCTCCAAATTGATCAGATACTCCCACAACAGGTGGAATTTTTTTCTGTTGTTAATTCAAAATGGGGCTGTCCTTCAACCCCTCTGAGAATTTCATTTCTTTGACAGCCTTTGATGAGTGATCCTGTCAAAAGCTATTTGAAATGTCAGTACACAGTGTTACCTTGACCATTCGTATTCTTAGTCTCTCAGACTCTTCAGGGAAGTTGTATACCGGAAGCATGACTTCCCTCTTTAAAAGCTGGTTCATGGTATATGACAGTATGGTAAGATTACTGTATGGTAATTTGATAAATACAATCCTATTAATTGTACTTTTCTATGTATTTTCTATCAAAACACTTGACACAGAACTCAGACTTACTGGTCTGTAGTTTCTCAGATGTTCCTAGGAGTCCCTTTTTTTAAAAAAGCACCTTTTCTACCTACACTCGTTCTAGGCCTGAGGCCCAGTGAAGGAAAATGGTACATCCTGCTTCCTTCTGTATATGAGTTTGGCCTTGGGGATTTGTTAGTATTTGTAATGTCAATATTTCTTCTAAAATTTCTTCTATTGAAACTTCAATTACGAGAACTTCAGTCTTGATAGGGGATCCTCCCTAAGTTTCCTTGTAGTGAACACTACTGAAAATAGTTCATTTAGGTTTTATGATGCAGCCTTATACTCCTGAGGTGTTCCTTTTAAATCTCTGGCATCTGTTGACTGTGCATACTCGCTGGCAGGTTTTGTGATTCAATTAATTTAAAAAAGATTTTTTTTTGCTTTTGTGTAAGATTTTGTTCCTGAAAATCATTGTGTTGAATTGTCATACACTATTAAATATTTGCCTTTTTTAGCCATGAAAAAAATGCAACTCAAAATAGGATTAAATTATTATTGCCTTTAAAATAATACAGTACTTATAAACATATCTGAGGGACAATATTATCTTTCAGATCTTATGTTTTTAACTTACATTAACTCCCTTAGTAGGTGCAATCTGTACAAGTATTGAATGCTCTTTGCGAGTCATGCCACCATTTCATATTCCTAATGAAACACTGATCTACTAATGCTTTGTACCATGTCCTGTTCTTCTGGGTTATTGTTACACTAGCAAGCGACATGCCTGCAGCAACTGGCAGAAAAAAGTAGAAAAATTACTGAGCAATTGCTTGGTGTTTGTACGAAAATTAGGAAACAGAAGTCCATTATTGCAAAGGGATATTTTTCCATCCGTATTATTTATGATCTTTGAGACCAAGGAGGCCATTACAGTTGCATAGACATCAAGAGAATTGTCAAGGCCTTACCTTCCCGTGTTACACTATAATTGCTTTGTTATGACCTCCACCCTCTATATC